GCGACAATGCGCGCCGGTCTCTTCGCGAACGCGACTTTTCCCCGGCCTGGAGGGCCCCAATCTTCCCGACTCGCCGCCCTGAAGCACGGGGGGGAGAGGGTTTGTCACTGCGACCGAATCCCTCACGACGCTGGGGCTTATCACTATACTCGCGCTGAATTTTCGCACCTTTGCTCGACGTGCACGCGAAGGGTGCACTCTGATCCACCTCGATCGATGACCTCTTCGGCTCACGCGCGGGGAACGTCCTTTTCGTGGATACACCGCTGAAGCGACCGGAACGGAAGAGACACGAAGAAGAAGAAGAAGAAGAAGAAGAAGAAGAAGAAGAAGAAGGAGAAGAAGAAGAAGAAGAATCGGTTCCGGGTCTCGACCGCGGCGGACGAACACGCGAACGCCCGATCAGTCTGAATGTGTTTCTCGCACTGAGGAGACGAGTTCGCTGCTTGAGCAACGCATGTATGGTCGCCAGCGGCCACACGTTCACGCTCCGACACACTCAGAGGCACCCGTTCACATATGTACACGGGAATGCACGGGAAAGGTGTATTCACAACGTCTTGCCGCTACGCTCACCTGACGTAAACAGACACAGCCGGCTCTCGGTCAGTCCGCTCGGCGAGTCCACAGACGCGGATCGCGCATACACGCGCACATGGATGTTGAACAATTTTAAGAGCCACTTGCGCATGGAGATTATAAAATATTAATGATATTAGATGGACAAGGAGAGTGTCGGCGGCAAAAGTAGTCCGCGTATTCCCGAACGTCGCAGTGATACCTCGGCGCGTGATAAGATCGAAGTTGATGCTTTGAATTCATCACGAGCTTTTTTCTCATCATAACCGTCACCTCGTTGACCACATTAATAATTTATCGGAAGGTCTCGGGGTGTAAGGTTTGTAGAGTTCGAATAAATCTTCTTGTTTGCATTGCCATCGTCCGTGTGATTTGTTTACTCGTTTATTTATTTATTTATTTATTTATTTATTTATTTATTTACGAGATTATTAATTAACATAGCAGTGTGACGATTACAGAGAATGATATAATACAATAGTACCATGCAGATTTTACGTAACATTTTATATTCTCTCGTCGTTATATTCTCCTTCCTTCCACACACGCGCGTGTGGAATTTCGCGGGGACTCATGTTGAGTGTGGACGAGAGGAGAGACAAGCAAGTCGTATGGGAGAATGAGCGATGCCGTGTAATCGCAATTAGTCGGTAGTCGCATAATTATGGTTATCGATCGAAAATCGCACGGATCTCCCCGTAATGTCGTTCATTTGTATAATTATCATTTATATAATTATCGTAATCATTTCGTCGTCATCGTTTAATTAAAGAGTTACACTTTGAAATTCTCCACATTGGAGTCCCGCCGTTGTGTCGTTTCCACGGCGGTTTTCCGCTCGCGCTCCGCGCTGCCGATGGATGGGAGTCCGCGAGAAGCCGCGATTCTCCTCCGTCTCCGAGTGCGTTAAATCTCCAAGGATGCAAGCTGACCCAGATCCGTGCATCTTGATCTCCAATTAAACAGTTATATAAGTATGCTTTTCTTGCACGTCTGACTGATATTTACCGACTGACATTTATCGTACCGCATTTGTTTCAGCCGCAACTTTTTTCCTCTTTTTCTCCGACTTATTCATGATTTCTTGGCAAATGATAATTCCCTGTATATCTATATATGTACATGGCAATTACAACATACGCAATAGCCCACCGATGACAATCACAAAACTCGCTCTCGCGTCGATCCGCTCTTGTCATCGAGGCTTGATATTTCTCGGAGTGATACGCGTATGCGCGCACGACGCGCAAGAAAAGAATACAGCGGTATCGTACGGCTTGTAAATGATAATGAATCGCGTCGTAGACCATTAGGTGTTACTTGCGTACGCCTAGTGCATCGAGCACCAGGAATAAAGGAATTAAAAAGAAATGAAAGGAAAGACAAATAAAAATGAGAACGGCAGGAAACCATTCTCGAGTTGCCGCGACATGCTAAGTGAGAAACTCAAGCGGTCATACTTTTTTCTCGTACTCACTATATCGTGTAAATCCTGTTTGCAAATATTCGTTGAATTGCTCTTAACGTTATTATTACTGTCCGATCCTTCTACAGGCCGCTAGCCTGAACGCACGGAGTAGCTGTATCGTTTTAGAGCTTTTCGTGAAAATTACAGTACGCGTCCCAGAAGAAGCTGTAGCTTCATAAGTCAAAGCTATCACACCGATATGTGTGTGCGGCAGAAGAACTTGGTCACATAGCAGACATGTTTTCAACAATTATCGCGCAAACAAATATTTATTTACTCGGTTCTTCTCGGCTCGTTTCTTAATCAGCTAAATTTTACGGGGCCTGCGTGTTTTCGATAAAAATAACAAAAACCAGTTACGAGGAAATCGAAACGCACAAAACACATACGCGTTAAAATAATACATACGTGTGTCTATAAATAATTTCGGGATAATTTATGAGCCATCTCGATAATCTGGTCGAGTTGTGAGTTAAGAAAAACGCGCTAATCGCTCCATCGGCACAGATGAACGCGTACGTTTACGAGAATGTGAGCGAGCGGTTATTAAACGTATACAGCTGAGGCTCGATTTATGAGCCTCATTCACATGTGTGTGTGTATGTGTGAAACCTGCTCTAAGCGTGCATACAGAGATACGCATGCATACGCACGCACTGTCACATCAGGTGCTTTCGTTTCGAATCGAGGATACCCGCACACGCACATGCATTTGCCACTTGTGACGCAAACGAAAGTGCACTACCTATAGCCTCGTGATCTTCCATGTAGCTGGCCGTCTGACAGGCAGGCAGAAGTCGTCAAACCACCGTCGAAACGTTCTTCGATGCTTTTCTGGGTTGGGTTTTCGCAGTATCTGTCACATCTAACGTCTCGATCACTCGAAACTTCAGAAACAAGTTTGACAGAGAAGCGATGGACTCCTGCCTGCCGTCGTCTAAACGGATGATGAGAATCAGCTTTGTCGTTTTGTATTTACAATAAGAAAAGCTGAAAAAAGAAAAAAGAAAAATTAGATTTACGATATTGTATTTTTCATACCGAAGGAAAAAAGTAATTATGATGTTTGTAAAAAATTGTTTTCCTCCGTCCTCACGTCACTTATTACTTTACGATGGACGATGGACGTCTCAATTATTTTTATTATTACCGATTGTTAATAAAAAATTAAGTGTGTAATACATACTACGGTATGTATTACACATTTAATTTACTACAGCCGATACAGTATGTACTCGTCTTTAACGTTACGTCGCATCGTAGCCACTGGTTAATTCTAAAGCTACTGGTTTGTCGTTAATTAAGGAGAGTCACTGGAAAAATTTATAACATGCATATATTTTGCAAACGGATTGTGCGGTTGCGAGTTGATTGCGAAATGCATATCCATTTAATGTGCCTTGCGTCTATCTAGTTCCGGCATGTTCTCGTCGCCGATACAATGTGTTACCTTTTCCGCCTACGTCCTTGTTACTTTGTCCGACAATCAGTGAGGCTGCCGCGCGAGTGCCGTTAACTTAAACTTGACACACTTTCTTGGCCCACTAAATTCGACAAAAATAAGCACCCGCGACGCATTTAATAACAGCAACGTCGTTTCTCGCGACGCTAACTCTCGGGCCGAAATCGCGATGACGGGATGAGCGAAATAAGCAACGAGGATCGCGCACATTTTTCTCGCGACGTTTGTTATTCCTCGGCGGGCAAATCGCGTGTCGTCCCGCTCTCGTTATCGATTTGGTTCACGTATACCGTGAATACGCCATAAACGCGCCGATCGCCTCGATAAACCGAGCAACGATCGTAACGAGCTTCGCAAGTCGCGGAATGAAGCCGTCGCAAGCCCGGCGACGGAGCGGACTACTCGGTGGCGATTCGCTCTCGCGTCTCGCTCGATTTTGTTTTTACGCATAGTTGTGCGGAGAAATTGTTCACGCTCTGTGCACGCGCGTTCAGACGCGTTCAGATTCGGTACGGACGTAGTGTAACAGGGCTTGACTTGCGACATTCCTATCGTTAGAAAACGGACGTCACGTGTGCGGTTTGACGAGCGTGAGTGGCGTCGGCTTTCCTCGTCAATCCATCATCGAAATCTCCCGCGTGTTCGGGAGAAGCGTTAGCGAAGCTAACGAACTGCATTCGTGTGGCGGAGGATTTTCTCCCGAGGCTTAAGGCCCACGTCACACGAAAGCGGGACATGATTCAAAAGTATATTTTTTAGGACAGGGAAGGGCAGGGATAATGTTATTGTTACATTTTTCGTATAACTTCTGAGCGAAGAGAAGAGGTGGATTTTTGTAATTAGCCCCGGACGCTTTGCGCCGCTTAATTTACTCGATATTGATCTCGATATTGATGCCATACGACGTTTGGAACGTCGACGTCGCAAGTCAATATACAGAATGTTTTTCGCTTTAACTTGACAACGACAGCAATGATCTCTAACGAACCTGCCGACGTGAACGTATAGAACATTTGTCATCGTGTACAGAAAACTTAGGTGGAAAATTGCCGGTGACGACATCGATATTTACGCAAATGTGTGAATTCGCGTCTCGTCCTCTAACGCGACAATCGCGTAATCGTTTCCTGCTTTTTGTGTTTCCTGAGTCTGCGAAACTCGCGTACTCGTTCTCTTTCCGCATGAGTTTCTCTTCTTTTTACTATAAAAGAATAGTCGAGTCCCTGAACGTACTATATTTAACGTGTGTAGTCCCAGTCGGTGATGAAAGTTTCGGCGAGCATCCAGAGTTCAAAAGTTCGATAAATCATGTAGAGAAGTATTTCGGGTCTAACTTGATCAATCGATAGACAAACTGCTCATTAAGAGGCTCATTAAGAAGCTCACCGACCATTTAAACTCATTAAGAACCTTATTATTGATCGCAGATATTTTTTTTCCTATTGTTATCGAGCCATTAGCCTCGTCGAAGGTAAGAAAAGAAAAAATGATGAGGATGGGGAAGAAATTTATTGGAACATTGTAGCAAAAAATGCAGCATTTATAACACATATTATAAATAATAAATTGAAATAATGCATTATTACGAGAAAAGGACAACCAGGTCGCCTGATGTAAATCAGGTCATCATCTGCATTGGTAATTATATCGCGTAAGCTAATTTAATAATTTATCCTAGTCTCGTATTAATTATTAATTATCCTTCATGAAACGTCATGGACGATATCGACCAACGTCTGCACTAGTTCTCGATCGGTCACATCGATAAAATTGTCCTTGGCAAACCTGTGGCCATTCGGGTCGACGTACACCTTCTTCCTCGCCGAGGCGTGAAATTCTCGGGCGCCGCACTGTTTGATCTGAGATATATTATCCCTCGCGATTCCCGCCCCTGGCATAATCACTATTCTGTCCGCGGCCTTATCCACCAAGCGCTTCAGCAGGCTCAATCCCTGCAGAGCGGTATCCTTCTGTCCCGACGTGAGGATCCTGTCGAAGCCGAGGTCGATGATGCTCTCCATCGACTTTAATGGATCGACCGTTTCGTCGAAAGCGCGATGAAAGGTCACCGGTAAGGGACGAGCGACGGAAACGATCTCGCAGCATACGTCGAGGTCGACGTGGCCGTCGAGAGTCAGTGCACCGAATACGAATCCGTCCACTTGGTGATCCTTGAGAATCCTCAGGTCGTGCAGCATGGCGTCGATCTCCTCGCGGCTGTAGACAAAGTTGCCCTTGCGAATGCGGATCATGGCGCGAATCGGGATCTTCGCAAAGTTCTTTATCTGCCTGACCAGCCCCGGGCTTGGGGTTAGGCCACCCTCTGAGAGGGCCGAGCAGACCTCCAGTCGTGTAGCGCCTCCTGCGACTGCGTTCCTCGCGGACTCCAAGCAATCGATGCAGATCTCCATCTGCAAAGCGAAGCGGTTGATTAGCAAAATTTCGTCACGCGTGTTCTTAACTCCGGAATAAATTTCATAAATATTTACATCGATTACAACTCTATGGTAAATTATTTTTCTATCAGCCACTCATTTAATACCGGTCTATTTAATCGATGCTTCTTAAGACATACGTACCAATCTCTGGACTAATAAGAATAATGTGAGACATTATGTGAAACTTGAAAATATTATATAAAAACTCATAGCGAGAATTTTCTGCGCAATTATACTGTTTAGTGAAACAGAAACACCACCAGAAGGAGACTAGCCATTTCCTGTAACTTCTTTAGCTCTAAATGCGAAATCGGTTTTTGGATCGCTCTCCATCATCCACCACAATTTAAAGAAATTTGCGATTCAAATTGCAAGATGCCTTTTTTATATTATATTTTATTTATATTTATATTATATTTTGTCATATTATAACTACGAAATATGACAAGATGGAGAAATCCGGCCGAATTCGTATTCAGCGTCCAAGAGGCTGCAAGAAATGCCTCGTTCTGGTGTCCGAAAAAAATTATTTTTGTCAAATTGTGATGTCAACAAGTTTAAGTATTATTAGGCTAATTATTGTTAGTCAAGTAAATCTTGGTTAAAGAAATTCTTAGTCCGTCACGAGGATTGAAAAATAAACTAATTATTTTACCTTTCGAGGTATAAGTTCACGAGAACAAGTGTTTGGAGCTTTTTTCTTTTATCGAAACGCATTATTATTCAAAGAATAAGACTGCAAGTGTGTCCAGATTTTGGTTGATGTTTATCTTGCGAAGTATATTTACAACGTATAGTTCGCGTCTTGATCGCGGGAGTTTCGTTTAGCTTTTAAATTTTGCTGCACACATACTTCTGCATGTGCAAATTAATGCGAAGTGTGCAAGCGAAGTATGCTGCAGAACGCTGACAGTTCAGCGGACGATAAGAGAAATTATCTGGAGAAATTATCGACCGCACAGAAAAAAGAGATCGGTAACGGTTTTCTATATATCATTGAAAAATTAATTTTTCCAATTCGTTAAAGCGAATGATAAATTGTCGTTCGACGACTCACCTGGATGAAACCGTTGCGTTTTCCAGGTGTAGATAAGTTGATGACTGTACAAAGTCGAGTAGCCAGACAGACTAGCGGAATCTGAGGCTTCGGTGACTCAAGTTTTATCGCACCTAACAATATGTAATTTATCGGGCGTCGACGATCAAGTTACATAATATATATGTTCACTTCAAGATATTATTACTTCGACAGAGCGAGATGTTTCAGCTCACGAGAACGTGCTGCGGCCATGACCGCAGCTGGAAGATGAGCGATAACCGCATCGTGATACCAAGCTCGATCTTCTATTTACTGATAGATCGATTGAGTTCTCGATATTTTGCAATTTTCGATTAATCTCGATGTCGATAGTCGTTTTAATTCGATGTTACTACGATTCGATGTTTCACGTTATTCAACTTCATCGAACGTATATCTACACGCATGTATGATGTAGTGCATACACGCTTCGTTTAAAACGTCTGGATACTTGTTCGGATTTTAATTCCTCATAATGTAATTCATCGTCGTTACAGCTTGTCGACTAGATGTAGTTTCAAAGTTTCCGCTACGAGTCGCTAGCGTTTCTTTCTCGACAAGCCGAAGTTGTGGTACAATTCAACGACGAGTCAGACAAACTTTTGCTCCTTTGAACAGTATTTTCAAATAATACTAGTTAGTGATAGAGGTGGTTCTTCTTCTTCTTCTTCTTCTTCTTTTCTCTTTTTCCTCCTATAGAGGATTACTAGGATGTAGCTCGAAGGTACAATTGATCTTTTTTTTATTGCATTAATATTTCAAAAAACAGATGGGAATTTCATTAAGATTACCTTTTCGCTGAATACCCGCTGAGTACTGTTCACCTTCGTTTTAATTGTACTCTCAGTTGAATCAACATAAACGTTATGACGCATCTATATCGATTGGCTCAATATTTCTTTGAGCCAATCGAGGTGGGCAGATGCACAGAAAATTCTTATTTATATGAGGAGATAGGATTGCATACGAGATTCGTGAAAAGCGTAATGAAATATTGTATTATACAACATATATATATATAATAAAATAATACCAAATGCGGTGCACATAAAATAATAATAATAATAATAATAATAATAATAATAATAATAATAAAATTAATATAATAATAGTAACAAATATCAAGTGAGTTTCGTAGTAAGCGCGATGACAATATAGTACTTCAAAGTGAAAGTAATACAACTTAAAAGCACGTTACAATTACATCGGATCGATCAGTTGCTCCAGGATCGTTTACCCGCTGGCGACTCACGAACATTCGAGCAGATGCGTCCGAGATACACATCCCGCGCATTTCGAATGTGCGATCATACGCGGCCAGCCGGCGGAACAAGAAAAGGATGCGTTAAAAAAGTCACATGCGTTAAAATAACGTTACTTTCATCGCTTCTTTGACACGGAATTATAATTTAAAATGCACTCGCATACTCTCTCTCTCTCTCTCCCCCTCTTTCTCTCCCTCCCTCCCTCTCTCTCTCTCTCTCTCTCTCTCTCTCTCTCTCTCTTTCGCTTCACAAACGACATGTCGATTAAAAAATACGATAGCGCGTCTCCTGTTCTTTTCCTTAAGCATTTATTCAGCGTGTCTGGCAAGATTACGCTACGAGAAAGCATTCGCGCACGGATCTATCAGCCGAGACGGTTCCGAAACGCGCACGTTTGATTCCAAAAGATACCGGTTAAATATACATACAATCGCGCGTACTTTCGCGGCGTCTATCGTAATAAAATAAAAATATACAGTCCTTTATATTTACCATCGCGCGTCACGACCACGGACGGATCCAACGGCGGCGGCTCTCGCGCGGCGAGAATGTCGAAGTCGCGGAAACAATAAAGCCTCGCCAACGCCGCGCCTGATGTCCACCACGCGTAATCGCGCGGGGTGGCGCGATGACGAGCGGGGAAGCTCAGTCGTCCTTGAGCTTCCCCGCTCCCCCTTTGCCGTCCAGATTCATCCGTGATCCGGCGACGATTCAATTAGCGACGTCTACACCCGGTCTCAATGCCTGACTTGGTCATTCTTTCCCCGGCGCAATTTCGGACGCGGCCGATCGCCCAATGAGAGAACTCAACTTCTGGGAATGAATCAAAAACGATTTCTCTCATCGAGCCGTTGGCGACGTTTCGCATCGCGTCTGGAAAATAGTAGCCGAACCGCATTGTGACGCCAGGTGTACAAGGGTTATGGGGGGGGGGAGGCTGGGTGGGAGGCGGCGGGGACGGTAGGTGGGAGCTGTAAAATCAGAGATCGCCGTTCGAGACCGCGATCGGCGACGGGCTCGTGGAATTGTTGGAGTTCGTGGCCGCCCATTTGTTCTTGTGTGGGTCCACGCCGAAGCCCTCGTCGTAATTGCCCCGCGTGATGAAGAGTTGCTTGAAGTGCGGGATGCAGTAGAGCTTGCCGTTGTTGAGCGTGAAGGAGTCCATTCTGCGCGAACAAACGACAATGATGTGATTTTCGATTGCGTCTCTGTTAGTTTCTTTCTTTCTCGACTCCGTTAATCGCGCGCGCGCGCGCGCGCGCCGTCGATTCGACAATCCCGCCCCGTCACGCGCGCTTTCTTTCCACACTCGCCGGTGAACGTTAGTTCGAGGCTCCGAACCGAAGGAAAGGAGACCGTTAATGAGAATTTACGGAACCCGAGAGAGAGTGATCGCGTTTGACGACGTGAGGCCGCGGTTTCCTTCGTTACCTTAAGATGCAATTGCACTGGAGACATCGGAAGCACTGCTTGTGAAAAATTTTGTTATTTGTCTCGACCTTCTCCAACGGGTAGACCTTCTTCTGGCAGCTCTCGCACACGTCCACGCAGGTCGTCTGGATCTCCTGTGCGATCGTTGCGTCACAAAAGACAAGTTATAGTCAAGTTTGTCCTCGCGAAGTGTCGGACACGCGCGATGGCCGAGCGAGAGCGAGCAGAGATTTCACCGGTCGCGTGTGTCATGTGGGATGCATGAGCAAGTGTTTCGGA